ATTTTGCGTTGATTTCGACGCTAAAGGACTGTTCACGGTAGCTCAGTTGGTAGAGCGCTCGCTCCGTGATCGGGAGGTCTTGAGTTCGTATCTCGGCCGCGACTGACGTAGTCGTTAAAGTGGGAAGCAACTGTTCCTTCGCCATGCGCTCTGCACTTTAAAGTGAAAGTTGCGGGTCCTTCAGATGAGACCTTAAAAACCGAGGCCCCGTGTCAACGGCAGGCATTGGCACAATAAAGATCCCTCACTGCTCAATGGCCCTAAGTGCCGAGTAAAGGTTAAAATTTGAAGCCCTTCACCGGCATACGGTGACGTCTCCATATGAGTGAAAAATTCTCGAGAGGGACGGTTAACAATATGCAATCAATCGACGCTAAAGGTTTTAACAATGCAAGCGCCCTAGTAAATTGGAGTAAGAATTCCCAAGCTAATGTTGACTCTGCCGCAATTTGTTGACTTCAACCAGATAACTAAGACTTAATTCATGAAAGGGAAATTTGAAACAGGTCTATTATATTTGAGTTCATTTTTGTCAAGTCCCTGGGGCTTAATCAAGAGCCGTACTATAGCCGTTTTGAAATTCAATGGACCTGTCGCTTCTGTATGGTTCTGTAGAAAATTTCAATAATGATTGGCAAAACAGAATCCAAACATTGTTTCAAAACTTTTGTGTTTTGTGTTACAACTGAGTTTTCATGGTTTATTGAGAAAAAATAGCTTTTTTATGTATGTCATTCAAAAATGGTTGGACGATATAAACTTTGTTTCTTTCTCTCTGAAGATGGAGAAAATGTGTTCATTTCCAAAAACTTAAAACAATAGTTTTCCGTTTCAATGCAAATTGAAAAACGTTCGGGCATATTTCCTTAGACAGCTGCTGCAACTTTGAAAAAAAAAAGCAACTGAAGATTGATAACATTACCAGAATGATGCACAAGAGGTTTATCAACTTGGACTTTGAGACTGGGAATGCATTCTTACCCTAGCAGTTATCTTAAAAAAGAAATTAATGAAGGGCAAACATGTATGATATAAGGTAAATGAGAACAAGCAAATCGTTCTCGCGGTAAAAGCATTTTTTACATCGGTTTGTCGTGTATGAAAACGTGGACAGTATAAGCTTACAATCGTCCGATCATTTTTAATCATTACTGACGCTTTCAGTTCGTAAAAAAAAACAAATAAGGCGTAAAAATTGAAACTATTTAACCAAAAATTGTAAACATTGAAACTATTTAACCAAAAATTGTAAAAATTTTCAGCAGTAAAAATTCAATAACAGGGGCATGAAATGCTGCATGTATACATAATGTATTAATATACTCTTTACAAATTGAATCATATTATCCTCATATGTTAAATCGTCATGTATTTCACTTTCATCAACATCCAACATATCCTCTTCCTCATCCAACACTTTATTATTTACACTTTTATTCTATAAAATTTTGCTGAACATATTGCACAATACTCAAATCCCTTCTAATTCAAGAAATTTTGTCTTTTTACCAAAGCTATGTATCCCTCAATTACATTGTAGTCTGGTTATTTGGTAAAGTTGTATCGACCCTCTTTTCCAATTTCTTCGTGGATATCTTTATTGAAAAAGGAACAATTAAAACATACATTTTTATTGCAAAATCTCCCGCCAGACCGTTGGCTGTCGCAATCAAATTGATGCTGTCTGCATTAGTTATTGAATCCAGCATTCCTTTTAGGAGACTTTTGTTGTCATCCAATCTCTACAGAAAAGACAATTTTACTTCATAAATAAGTTTTAACGTTGTGGTTCTACATTTTTTCCCATTTATTACATTTTACCATTTTTTCAAAACACAACTCCTCCTACAGTTTGGGATTTTAATATAACTTGGCACACAAGTACTCTACACAAAGATACGTAAACTAGTGCATCGGTTTTCGATGTCGATGAACGGTGTTGCCATGGTTACTAAAATAGAATTTTCTGTGAAATTCTTTTAAAACACTACTCCTCCTACAGTTTTGGTCTGATTTCAGCATAACTTCGCACACAAGTAGACTACACCTAGATACATAACAGAATGCATCGGTTTTGATTTTGAGGAATAGTGTTGCCTTTGTACACAGACTTCTGGTTTCATGTTGTAAAACTTTGATCCATCATTGTGGTCCCACCTTTTCCATGGGGGTTATGATTTGAACCCATTTTATTCTACAACACCTAAGCTTCCAAATAAAGAGTCCAGCCTTACAAAGTGATTCAATGGTCCGTGATGAAAATAAAGGTCCTATTTGCTTCAATTCGTCAATTCAAGCTAATGCCATAATTTTAATTTCTGAAACCTGGGAGAAAAAAAACTTGATATACAGAATCACCCCCCCCCCTTCAATACACTTCTGCCTTGAGTACAACCACCACGAGCAAGGGTAAATGCTCAAATACAGTGTAGAGTAGACATTTCTTGATATCTGCCATCCAAACAGGTAGTATTAGAAAGAAGGATTTGCTGCGAAACACTGGGAGTAGATATTGCACCATGGATGATATAAATGAAAAAGTATGATGACATCTGCTCTGAAGATCTTGACATAGATTCTCCAACTTAAAGTTAATAAGATATTCATGATCTTATTGTTAAGGAAAAAATGAACCGGACCCTTGATGACAGATTTTCCTGCACTCATCTTTCATTTATTAAGTCACTGCATGCAACACAATGTTAGGATTTTGCTGACAAAGTGTTCACAACAGTCTTGTCTTCGTTGTCTACTATGAAAGATACAACAATCACGAACACAATGCCAGCCAGAAGTTTTAAACATGTTACTCTCAATGGCAACAGGTACACGTACATAAAATGATGGTGGCTTGGTATATAAATAACAATAAATCTATAAAGTTAGATTTTAAGCAGTAAGAATGTCATGTTGGACTCTTATTATAGTAATTATTTTGTAATAATTAAAGGCCAGTGACATATTCTTCACAGCCATTGAAAGCAATCTGCATTTTCATTTACTTCTTTCCTTCAGATCCATCAGTCAAGAGCTTGGTTATGCTGAAACTTCTTAATCAAGAAACATCATCCATCCCTAAAGGGTCAGGTGACCAGCGCTCAAGGTCAAACTCTTCTGACACTTCACCATCATTAACTTCACCACCAGTGTCATCCACTTCAGTACTCTCTTCATCCACTTCAGCACCATTGTCATCCACTTCAGCACCATAAAAGTCATTGGCTACATCTGAATCCCCCATTACATCTAGTGAAAGTAGCTCCAGCACACACAATTGGAAGGCAGAGGAAGAAATCTGATAAGAATGACAAATTTTTACAATGCAAAAACCATACTGCCTTGTGGAATGACATTAGTGCTCAACTGAATGAAACCCTTAAGTGCAATGCTTCCCCAAATCAAGCAATGAACAAATACTACAATATGAAAAAAACGGTGGAAAGAAATTATTGATGCACCAACTGGAACAGAAAGGAAATATTTTAGGCAGAAAGATCAGTTTGATGAAATGTATGGTACAAAAGAAAGCACAAAACCAACAGTAATGGTAGACACATTGGAAAAGAAATCAGAGACGCAAGGGCCAAAACAAATAAAGTCTGTATAAAATGTTAAAATTAAGCTATTCATTCTTCCTTATGAGGACATCTGCACAAAAAAATGTTTCCTTTAATACTGAGGAAAATACAAACAAGCAAAAAGTAATGGTCTACCGCTTTCAGTGCCTTATTATACCCCCGCTCCGAAGGAGAGGGGGTATACTGTTTTACTCTTGTGTGTCTGTCCGTCTGTCTGTGTGTCCGTCCGCAACAAATTTTCGTCGCAGTTTTCTCAGCAACAACTCATCGTAGATGCTTGAAATTTTAACATAATCTTCTATAAGGCATGCCATATGGTGGGATACATTTTAGATTCAATCCGATGTCAACTTCCTGTTTGTCTGTGCGTCTGTCGATTCATACATCACAAATTTTCGTCGCAGTTTTCTTCGCAATTACTCATCATAGATGCTTGAAAATTTTTGGCCGTGGATATCGGCCTGGATAGCTCAATCGGTAGAGCACCTGACTAGTGATACAGGGGTCCCGGGGTCGATTCCCGGTCCAGCCATGAATTTTCTCCTTTCCTGTTACACAATAATGCAGCAATTTGTGTAACTATGAAAACTATAGACAAGCTGCATTCTCCTTACAATGCCATTGTGTTCGTTTTGTTAATATTATCACACTGGCAGTCATTTGGATCCTGTAAGTGTTCTCCAATGATGTAGTCTTTAACGTCTTCATCATTAATGATGCACTTGTTGTGTAATATACAGGCAGCCAAAATCATTTGGCAAATTTCTGTGGAGTTGTGTAATGGAATGTCTTGCAGCCGACGAAAACGTCCTTTTAAATGTCCAAAAACACGTTCAACAACTTGTCTTGCACTTGACAGTCTCTTGTTGAAACAGACTTGCTGTGGGGTAAGATTTCCCAAGTTCTTAAAGGGGGTTATTAACCAGTTCCTGAGAGGATACGCGCTGTCAGCAAGAATAAATTGATGAACAACGAGTACAAGGTTTCCTGCCGCAGCCTCTGTGTATAGAGATGAATTTCTCAAAACGCGAGCGTCATGCACACAGCCTGGCCACCAAGCATAAATATTTGTTAATTTCATTTCATGGTCTACTACAGCCTGCTAAAATATTACATATATGTACATCAAATCAAGAAAATGTATGCAAAGGAGGGGAAAACATGTTTTTTTTAACTGCCCTTAAAGAAAATCTCTTCATTTTGGTTAGCATGGAGTTTTATTTCAACATACTTGAATTTATTTATTCAGTTAATCTATTTGAAGAATTACTAAAAGTTTTACCGAAAATTTGATGGATAATATATGTGATGTGTAGGAGATTATCAAATTGATCATTGATGTCAAAAGATGAATTTCTAGGGTATTATCATAGTACCATTGTTTTATTTTATTATTATTATTTATTTTATTATTGTTTTATTTGCTCCTCTGTCGATTGAATCGCTTCTCCCTTTCACACATAACTCTACAAACACAATAATCGAACTCAGTAACACTCAGAAAAGAACATTAAACAAAGACTTAAGGTGCCCTGAGGTCATCCAATGACCTTGATATTTGAGGACCTTGGGTCACCTTCTTGTTTATTAGTAATGGGATCAATAAATATAAAGGTTGCCTTACCTGCTCCTCTGTCGATTGAATCACATCAACTTGGGTCTGTAAAAGAAAACAATTAAAATTAATTTGAGAGATGATGATAAAAGTAGGTCACATGTGATAAGATTTGAAATCTTTTTATGTCAAAACATATACCTTTTTTCAGATTTCTCTGTCGTTTACCAACCTATAACATCTGAAAACACAGATTGTAAAATAATTAATATCAGAAATCCTTCATCAGGAAATTCTTTTCAGCCTTTTGGTCCAAAAGTCATCATATAAAACAAAGGAAAAATTTGACATAAACATGTAGTTAACAATGTATGAAACAATGAAGAAAGAAATTGGTTCCAAAAATATTAAGGATAACAAAACCTGTCCTTGAGCGGTGGCTTGTACATTAGTTGTTGTCTATAAAATAAACAAAAAATTAGAGTCTGTATTTGATACGAGTAGGTCATCTACTTCAAAATCAGAACTTTTTTAGAATTAAGAAAAATCATACCTTATTCACTTCTCCCTTTCCAACATTAGTCTACAAACACAATAATCGAACTCAGTAACACATTATACCAAAGAAAAGAACATGAAACAAAGACTTAAGGTGCCCTGAGGTCATCCAATGACCTTGATATTTGAGGACCTTTGGTCACCTACTTCATCATTGTTCAACAGTAATGGGATCAATAAATATAAAGATTGCCTAGATACCTGTTCTTCTTTGGATTTATCTACACCAATTTGTGTCTGCATAGGACAAAAAAATATAAATAATATGAGCCTGCAATTTATACAAGTAGGTCATCTATATCAAAATCATCACTTTCTTCAGAGTAAATGATGTCATACATTCTTCTCTACTCCCTTTCCGGCATGACTCTACAAACACAATTATCAAAGGTAGTATCACTTTATACCAAACAAAAAACAATGAAACATTAATATGACAGAAGACTTAAAAGGCCCTTATGTCATCAAAGGAACTGGGGACATTGGGTCACCTACTTGTTTAACATTAATGGGATCATTAAATGTAAAGATTGCCTTTACCTGTTCCTCTTTCAATTCATTCACATCAACTAGTGTCTGTAACAGAAAATAATTGATAATAATTGATGGTAGGTGATTAACGTAGGTCACATGTGATAAAATTTCAAACCTTTTATGTAAAACATACTTTTTCGGATTCCTCTTTCGTTTACCAACCTTCAACATTGGAAAACAGAGATGGTAAAATAATTGATATCAGAAATCCTTCATCATGAAATTCTTTTCCGCCTTTTGGTCAGAAATTCATCATATAAATTTAGACTTATAATTACATGAAATAATGTATAATACAATGAAAAAAAGGATTCCAAAAATATTAAGGATAACAAAACCTGTCCTTGAGCGATGGCTTGTATATTAGTTGTTTTCTACAAAATAAACAAAAAATAAAAAGCGTGAAACAGTATGTGAAACAAATATAAATAATGGTTTCCCATTAGGGCTGGTACTATATTTTGAGATATAGATATATCACTATATACGTAAGGACGATACACATATCCATACATTTGAATTATCTAAATATTGCCCAAAAAATCTAACTTCTATTTTATTTGCTTCTGTTTATTTAACATTTGGGGTTTGATATATAAAATAAATAAATAAAATATAAATATAGATATGAAATAAATACGCAGCTAGGTTAAGGACGCCCATAGGAACTAAGCCTTGAAATATTCCGAAAAATCAAATATAATGTTAATATTTTTTTTATTAGCATTAGTTTTAATTTAATGTGAACTATACCAATGCATATGTATGTATGGGGTCTCAACCGAGTTCGGCCAACGCGACTTCATGTATATTGTATTGAGAAAGTAAGAAAAATCGAAAGAGATGAAAGAGAAAAGAAAAGAGATTAAAGTTTCAAGAGAGAAATGACCTTTTAAGAGAATTTCTTCACATCTTAAAGAGAAATAAATTGAAGGTTCAAAATTCAGTGGCAATATATACACTTAATGTAGACAGTTTTACATTGACGATTTTCTGATCCAGAAAGTAAAAATGACCAAACTTTTCATTAAAAACAAGATAATCCACATATACATAAATTTAAGATAATGATATGAATAGTTTTCCCGATTTTTGATAGCTCTTTCTCATATTTTAACAGTTTCAGTGGACATCAACTTGATATACTTACAGCATGCCGTTCTGGAAAACATCTGCTTTTACCTGGAACAGTATAAGAACACCAATAAGATAAAACTAAAATATTTCTATTATCTTATAAACATCTCATTTTCTGTTAAGATAGAAAATATTGACCTCTGTTGCATACCGAGTACAACATGACAGGTAAGGGTCCAGTACCCTAGGCTATTGATATGGTCTACTGAGTACTACAGGACAGATATTGATACGGTCTACTTAGTAATACAAGACAGGTAAGAGACCAGTACTTTAGGCTATTGATACGCTCCACCCAGTCCCAAAGTACAGGTAAGAGACCAATACTCTAGGCTATTGATACGGTCTACCGAGTACTACAATACTTCTTCTTCTTCTTCCTGTTCAGTGCTGGCCTCGGTATCGAGTGTAATAGAACGTCGAACACAGCTAAAAGCCTCTTATTTACAATTAAAAGTCGGTTAAAAACAATGTTTTGCATGTCACTTACGGGTTATAGGAAGCAGCTATGGTGTTGGTTAGCTGCTTCTTGAAGCCGTCGATGGTACTGGCTTCTTTAACATGATCTGGCAGGCTTTTCCAGTCCCTGATGGTTCTTGGGAAGAAGGAGAATTTGTACACGTCTTTGTATGTTGGTGGTTGACGGTATTTGCTGCCCCTTGTCCGAGTATCCCCTGGTGTTAAGTATGCTGTTGCTGGTATATCAATGAGGTCATTGCTGATCTTATACATCATGATGAGCCGTGATCTTAGTCGGCGTGTTTCAAGGGGCTCCCATTGTAGTTCCTTCATCATAGATGTTACACAGCCTGGTGTTCTATCATAACCTGGCTGCTTTTCTCTGGACACTCTCCAACATTTGTATTTGGGTTTGCTGATATGTATCCCAAACAGTCGCTGCATACTCCAGGGTGGGCCTGACGATTGTACTGTAAGCAGCAGATTTAATGTCGGCTCTACATCCCTGTAGGTTGCGACGGAGAAAACCTAGGATCTTGCTTGATTTGGCTCGGATGTTGTATATGTGTTCCGTCCAGTTCAGCCTATTGTTTAATGTTACACCTAGGTACTTTCCACTGTTGACTGACTCTAGAGTGTGTCCATGGAGGAGGTATTTGTTGGTTATGGGACGCTGTTTCCTGGAGACATGGATGACTATGCATTTTGGGGGGTGGAATTCCATTTGCCATTCTCGTTCCCATTTCTCTAGTGACTTCAGCTCTTTTTGGAGCTGTTCGGCATCTGCTCTAGAGTTAATTCTTCGATAAAGCAGGCAATCGTCAGCAAATAATCTTGCGTCTGATGATGTATGCTCCGGCAAGTCATTGATAAAGGTGAGAAATAGTAACAGTCCCATCACAGTCCCCTGGGGAACTCCGGAGATGACATCAGCTCTGGTAGAGGACTGACCCTCTAAGGTGACTCGCTGTGTCCGTTTTGCCAGGAAATCCTTGATCCAGTTCCATGTGTTACCTCTGACGCCATAAAAGTGCAGTTTGTGTAGGAGGCGCTGGTGTGGAACTTTATCAAAGGCCTTGGAGAAATCCAACAGCACTATATCTACTTGCTCTCCAAGGGCCAGTGACTTGGCCACCTCATCCACTGTAATCAATAGCTGCGACTCGCATGATCGTCTTGATCTAAAACCGTGTTGCTGATCTGCCAGTATATGGTTACTGTCATAGTGATCCATGATTTGGCTGTGTACAATATGTTCTAACAACTTGCATGATATGGAAGTTAAGGAGACTGGGCGGTAGTTGGAAGCTAGATGTCTCTCTCCTTTCTTAAATATGGGGACTATAGATGCTTCTCTCCAGCCGTCTGGCACTTTTCCGATATCAAGTGAAAGTTGGAACAATTTTGTCATGATTGGGGTTAGTTCTACTGCAAAGTCATGGAGGAATTTTTTTTGAATTGCATCTGGTCCTGTTGCTTTATGTAAATTTAGGCCCTTCAGGAGTTTACATACACCACCACTTCCTATGCGGATGTTGTTCATAGTAGGGTGTGGGTTGTCTCCTTTAGATGGCATATCTGTAAGGTCTTCCTTGGTGTAAACCGAATGGAATTGGTTGTTAAAGATTTCTGCCTTGGACACTGTGGAGCAGACCATCGGGGCCCTTGAGTGGAGACACGCCACTGGAGTCCTGTTTTTGATGTTTGATGTAGGACCAGAATCTCTTTGAATCCTCACATATCACTTCTTGTAAGTATTTTTCCCTTGCTAGTCGTATCTCTCGCTGGCATGATGTTTTTAGTTTGTTGTATCGATTTCTGTCCCTGTTGTTTTTGGTCCTTCTTGCTTTTTGGTGTGCTCTATTCTCCCTCCTCGTTAGTCTGTTTAGGTGGGTATCAATCCATGTATGTGATGGCTTGGATCTAGTAAACTTAGTTGGTACATGTTTCCTCATCAAATTATTGATCATACCCTTGAACTTGGTCCATATTAGATTGATGTCACTGATATTATCATATTCCTTATAGCTGTTCTTTATTTCTTCTCTGATGGCATCCATATTGGCCCTTTTCCATAGAAAGATCTCTCTGCGAAGGTGTTTCGACCTTACTGGTTCTACTGCTGCATCACATAAGATTACATCGTGATCAGCTTTGCCAATGGGTGGTAAACTTCTAATTTTTTCTATCAGAGTTGGGTGGTAAGTAAATAGAAGGTCTAGTATATTCTCTCCTTGGTCTTGCAGGTTATTACTTCGCAGTACAGTTAAGGCAACACATGAAAAAAATATGGTAATGAAGTCATAATGAGGTCTGACGTCATGACAGTTTGACAGTTGCTCCGCCCTGATTGATCCATATAAGGAAATGGTGCTCAAAATAACAATTTACCGATATTTGCAAGAATTTGTAATAAACAGCAATATCTTCATGTTGAAATAGAAAATACTTAGTGATTTTCGCGTATATATAATATCATGTCTGTAAAAACATTCTCTTTTTAATGTGTCGTTTGTCTGCATTCGGCTTCAGCCAAGCGCTTGCACTCGGTGACACGGAATGGTGTTTACATCTAAAAACGTGACGACATCAGCTGAGATTCGCAGTGGATTTTAAATGCAATAATCACACAATCTTAAAAGAAAATAGTGATAAAATAAGAGACACGGCATTGCTTCTTCCTTTTACGAGAATATGAGGACATTATTTCGGAAAATAGCAGAAAACTGAGACGATATGCACCAGCTCCGTAGATCGATCACTGCACTGAAATTCCAGGCCAGGTATGTTTGAAGATAAAATAAAATCACTTAAATTAAAGGTCACAGTGACCTTGAAATAGGTCATGACACACCGTCTACCCAAGATGCATAAATTGTCCAAGTTTGATGATTGAAAGTCTAATATTTTTCTAGATATGAGCCAAACAAAATCACAAAATAAAAAAGAAAAAACGCCTGTAAAATGCAGAAAAATCATCCAATCATGATGAGAATCCCAGATGCACACCTTCATATAGTGAATAATAAGTGTATAAATTTTCAGACAAATCCATCCAACACATTCTGAGAAACGGTCTGGACAAAATCTTGTCTACAGACAGACGGACAGACAGACGGACATGGTGATTCCAATATTCCCCCCTAAACTTCGTTTGCGGGGGTATAATAAGAGACACGGTATTGCTTCTTCCTTCTACTATAATATGAGGACATTATTTCGGAAAATAGCAGAAAACTGAGACGATATGCACCAGCTCCGTAGATCGATCACTGCACTGAAATTCCAGGCCAGGTATATACAGATGTATACGCATATGTAGGTACATGTGTAGATCTACAATATGTAGACATGTTTTTGTTAACATAAAAAAACCCAAGTGTGCTCATGTTCATTTCACATCATATCACAGTCAGTGAAAAACTGTAATGCAGTGCCTTGTGTGTAACCACCCCCCCCTACTTAGTTGTACACTTTTTAGAATTATTAAAAATTAATTGCACTCAATATGTACTGAGTTCCTGTCAATTAGCTCAGTTACTTTGAAACAATATGTGTAATAATGGAGGTCATCAGTAACAAAAATTTAAACTAAATTAAATGATATGTTTTCATTGTTTCAGTCAATGATTCACTAGTGACTAGGCCTATACAAGCTATGATGTCTTTTGACAGACAGATATACACAATTTTAAAAAAAAAAAAATATCAGTATCACAGTAAAACATAGAAGCCCCACTTCAGTTCAGATCTATGGTTGTAATTTTCTAAAATTTCTAAAGTAATGAAAAAAATATTCATTTTTGTTTAGATTACATGTACATAAAAATATTTATATAATATTTTAATCATTGTAGCTGTCAAGAGTATCAGGCTGAAAGAATGAATAAATGAAAAATGCATCATTTCTCCACAGGGTATGTATACTTCTAAAGCAATTCACATTTTTAAAGTTTGTACTTAAAAAAGTTTGTACTTTACATTTTTTTCACTTTGGTAAAGGAGAAATTCATTATTATTTATTTTTTTTTTTTAGAAAATATTCAATCTTTCACTATTGTAAATGTCAGAAGTTTCACTTTCCCAGAGAAGTTTTGTAACACATTTTTTTTCCATTTATGAATTACATAAATTAACTACAGTTTACAGTGTAGCATATTTTTTTTTGTAAAATGTAATGCCATTTTATTCTACAATGTATATTTAGTAATTTCATTGCAAATAACTGCATATTATTAGCTCACCTGAGCCGAAGGCTCAAGTGAGCTTTTCTGATCACATTTTGTCCGTCGTCCGTCCGTCTGTCTGTCTGTCCGTCTGTAAACTTTTCACATTTTCGACTTCTTCTCAAGAACCACTGGGCCAATTTTGACCAAACTTGGTACAAAGCATCCTTGGGTAAAGGGGAATTTAAATTGTTAAAATGAAGGGACATATCCCCTCGCAAGGGGAGATAATCAAGAAAAGACAAAAATAGGGTGGGGTCATTAAAAAATCTTCTCCTCAAGAACCACTGGGCCAGTAAAGCTGAAACTTATGTGGAAGCATCCTGGGGTAGTGTAGATTCTAAATTGTTCAAATCATGACCCCCGGGGGAAGGGCGGGGCCACAATGGGGAATCAAAGTTTTACATAGAAATATATAGGAAAAATCTTTGAAAATCTTCTTCTCAAGAACCACTGGGCCAGTAAAGCTGAAACTTATGTGGAAGCATCCTGGTATAATGTAGATTCTAAATTGTTCAAATAATGACCCCCGGGGGAAGGGCGGGGCCACAATGGGGAATCAAAGTTTTATATAGAAATATATAGGAAAAATCTTTGAAAATCTTCTTCTCAAGAACCACTGGGCCAGAAAAGCTGAAAATTTTATGGAAGCATCCTGGTATAGTGTAGATTCTAAATTGTACAAATCATGACCCCCGGGGGATGGGCGGGGCCACAATGGGGAATCAAAGTTTTACATAAAAATATATAGGAAAAATCTTTGAAAATCTTCTTCTCAAGAACCACTGGGCCAGAAAAGCTGAAACTTATCTGGAAGCATCCTGGTATAATGTAGATTCTAAATTGTTCGAATCATGACCCCAAGGGGAAGGGTGGGGCCACAATGGGGAATCAAAGTTTTATATAGAAATATATTGGAAAAATCTTTGCAAATCTTCTTCTCAAGAACCACTGCGCCAGAAAAGCTGAAACTTATGTGGAAGCATCCTGGTATAGTGTAGATTCTAAATTGTTCAAATAATGACCCCCGGGGGATGGGTGGGGCCACAATTTGGAATCAAATTTTCATATAGAAATATATATAGGAAAAATCTTTGCAAATCTTCTTCTCAAGAACCACTGCGCCAGAAAAGCTGAAACTTATGTGGAAGCATCCTGGTATAGTGTAGATTCTAAATTGTTCAAATCATGACCCCCAGGGGATGGGCGGAATCAGAATGGGGTATCAAATTTTTACATAGAAATATATAGGAAAAACCTTTGAAAATCTTCTTCTCAAGAACCACTGGGCCAGAAAAGCTGAAACTTATGTGGAAGCATCATGGTAAGGAGGTGCCGGGGACCTATTCTTGTCACCCCGGGTCCCCACGGGGGAAATGTCGAGTTGAAGGCCACAGCAAGTGTTTTCTTCTTTTCACGCAAAAGATTTTGCATAAATTCTGCTTCCTATGAATATAAAAATAAGTCTGCTAATAACGGAGCGCAATTTGTACCCATGGGAATTCCAATAGATTGTTGGAATACCTGGTCTCCAAAAACCACATAGATATTGTCAATCAGAAACTCAAGCATCTTCTTGATGTCAACTTCAGAGTACTTATGTGTGCATTCAGAATCTGTTTTAACAAAATAATTTTCAAATGACCAATGACGAGGTAAGTAAACTTACGAGTTCCATTTTTGTAAAGAAGATCTTTCGGAATAATCTTTATTCTGTGAAGAGAAGTCATAAAACATTAATGTTCAAAGTAATTAAATACCTCCAGCGGTGTTTTAACTACATGCCAAGGGAAAGGAAATGTTGCAAAGCTTGGACAGAGTCTAAGAGCCCTTTGGGAGATCATTCACTCTGTTCATCAGACTGGTGCCGGTTCCTGAGTAATTCTTAAGAAAAATATCGGTCCTTGCCATATGGTAGACCATTGTCTGATACAGATTTGCAGAGTACCATGCTTGACATCATGGAGAAATATGTGTTAAATTCTGAAAAGTTGGCAAGATTAGGCAGCACACAGGGAAATGAAAGTTTTAATCGACAGGTGGCTTCTAAAGCTCCCAAGGCGAATCATTATAGTTCTTCCAGCTTAAAGTACAGAGTGGCTACAAGTGTACTACAGAAGAACGATGGACACAGCTATGTAACAAACGTATGTTAATGTAAATGTATAGAGAGAAGAAAAAATTTTAACAGACTATATTTTGAATGATTTTAAGGTTACATAGGCTTCAATGTCTAGCTAAAATCTTTATCTGTACTTTTAGGTGAATCGTCGCCTTGGATTGTCACCAGGCTATTTTACCGAGAGGTTGGCGAAAATTAGAGATCTTCAGCACAAAAGAAGAAAAGCTATTGCCTTAACATTTAAAGCAAAACAAAGAAGGCGATTCTTGAAATCAAAAAGGTAGATTTATGCAAAGTTGATCGGGATTCGAGAAGTCTTTGTAGTCAAATCAGTTTTTTTTTAAAATAAGTCAAGCAGCTTAGATATTAATTTAAATCTGAACTGTAATTTTCCAATATGAGAAAAGAGATCATTGAACAATAGAGCATCAGCATAGGCAAGATTGATCTTTCACATGCCTAGTAAATTTTACATCAGTACATGATGAATCAATAATAATGTAAATTTAAAAAAAAATGATCTGCTGTTAAATAAATTGAATGCAATTACAATTATCTTTCAGACAACAAGGCAGCTCAACGAGTTAAAGAGGGTGTCACGTACTCTGAGGGAGTAAACTTCCAAACCATAGAGTCTACTGATGTGCAAGTAATACCACCTCCATCTGTTCAGCCATCATTGGAAACACTTCCAGTCAGCAGTGTTAAAACAATGGATGAGGTCATCTTTGATATTGAGGCCACAGGCTTAGGTAGGCATCAATTATACCTCTCAGTACATAGGATATGTGACACATCATTTGATTGTATAAAAATCCAGGTAATATCGTATAACATATATAGCCTATATCATATTGACATACATTAAGAACAATTTATTCTGGTTGATTATACATTTCAAATAATTATGCTCAATTTGATGGCATTTGGATTTTTATATCCAGACCTTCCAAAATTATATATTTGAAGTTCATTCTTAATACATGTACAAAAATTCAAGTTCTGTGACTCCAAGTCCAATATTGTAAACAGTTCACATTTCAAACAATGTTGTGCATTGAATATAAAGGTCCATATAATAATGACTGATGTGATGGATCAAGAAATCAATGAGTTTGAATTAAAATTTTCATGCATCCTCATAATACACTAAAATTCTGCTTCAGAATTCACTTAAACTCATTTAATTCTATTTTACAGCCAAAACTTCCCATATCCTTCAAATTTCTGCATTGAGAAATGGTAGCCAATTCAACCAGTACATCATTCTAAAGAGCCCTATTTGTTAAAAGGCTGAGGAGATTACCGGGATTAGAATGAATGGCATGAAAATGTATCATAACAACAAAGACGTTTCTCCAGTTCCCATTAGATTGGGGCTGTCAAGTTTTCTGAGAATCCTTCGTGAAGACAAGGAGAGCATACTTACAGGGCACAACAGTATATCTTATGATATTCCTGTACTGTTAAATGCATTCCAGAAATGTGGTATGGTCAGCTTGCTTAGGGAAAAGATCAGTGGTATCTGCGATACCCTAACCTTGTTTAAATCAACAAAGCCTGGGCTCACCTCCTACTCGCAAGTCAACCTTTTTGAACATTTCTTAGGAGATGCTTATGAAGCTCATGATTCTTTGCAGGACGTTATAGCTTTAGACAAGTTGTTGAACTGCTTACAACCAAATCTAGAGACAAAACAGGGCCCGACCTACTCTTTGGATTCTGCGATTGAAAGAACAGAATATGGTGATGGTGCTAAACACTCCTTGTCAACCCTTGATCTTCTTGTTGATTCTAAGACTATCTCAAAGGGAAATGCACGTGTCATAGCATTTAGTGGATTATTCTTTGAATACCTGAAACTTGCTTTTCACAGGAATGGCCGAGAGAGAATTCAGGACATAATGAAGGAAGAAATTACTGGAAAGCCACGTGTGACTCGCTCAAAGAAAATTTTGGACTCAATTTGTGATTTCTTTAAAAGAATGTTCAAGAATTCCAGAATTGTAATATTGTTGTTCAAGAAGTTTACTGTTGTTGTTCAAGAAGTTTAATGTTGTTATTCACGAAGTTTCGATGTTGTTGTTCAAGAAGTTTATTGTTGTTATTTACTAGTAAGATTAAGTCATGGTTAGAATTACAATTTATTTTGTGTGAGTATTATATCGGAGGGTGAAATTGGGCAACTCCACTTGTAGACTTATCCTTTTTTTGAAATTTCATGTTAAATGTCAACTACACTGTATTTTCTTAATTTCTTGTTCTCCTGTGTGAGTGTTACATAGGGGGCGGAAATTTGGCCGTTCCACTTGTAGACTATTATATTTTTGAAATTTCAGATTACATGTCAACTACTTCATTTTTTTTTCATTTTATGTTCTTCTATGTGAGTGTTATATCGGGGGCGGAAATTGGGCCGCTCCCACTTGTAGACTATTATATTTTTGAAATTTCAGATTACATGTCAACTACTTTATTTTTTTCATTTTATGTTCTCCTGTGTGAGTGTATATCGGGGGCGGAAATTAGGCCGCTCCACTTGTAGACTTATATTTTTGAAATTTCAAATTACATGTCAACTACTTCATTTTTTTTATTTTATGTTCTCCTGTATAAGTGTTATATCGGGGGCGGAAATTGGGCCGCTCCACTTGTAGACTATTATATTTTTGAAATTTCAGATTACATGTCAACTATACTTTATTTTTTCATTTAATGTTCTCCTGTGTGAGTGTTACATCGGAGAATTGTAGACTATTATATTTTTGATGATTGATTGATTGTATACTGTTTAACGTCCCTCTCCAGAAAATTTCACAGATATGGAGACATCACAATTGCCAGTGAAGAGCTGCAAATTTATGCCCATACTCGGCACTAAGGGCCTTTGAGCAGGGGGGACTCTTTATCGTGCCCCACCTGCAGTGACACAGGGCCTCAGTTTATATGGTCTCCTCCGACGAAGGATCGCCCCATTTACGACAAGCAAAGGGGTACTGAGGACCTATTCTAACCTGGATTCCAACTGGGCTTATATTTTTAATATTTCATGTTACATGTCAATTACTTAATTTTCTTTATTTCTTGTTCTCCTGTGTGAGTTATATTGGGGGTAGAAATTAGGTCGCTCCACACGTAGACTTATATATATAATTTTTTTTAGGTCAACTGAGTAAACTCAGGTGACCTATTGCTATCCGTTTTCGTCCGTCGTCGTCCGTCGTGTGTTCGCATTTGAACATTTTCAGCTTTTTCTCTGCAACCACAGAACCAATTTCAAGCAAATTTCGCACAAAGCATCTATGGGTGCAGGGGAACAAAAATTGTGAATTTCATGATCCCTGCCCACCTGGGGCCTGGGGGTGGGGCCAAAACCACAAAAATTAATGCAATCTTTAAAAATCTTCTTCTTTAATCCTGGACATCAAGCAGTCAAACTATTTGCATGATTGTAATCAGCATTGAGTCCTCTACCAAAATTGTGAAATTCATGTGCCTGGAGTCAGGGGTTCAAGTGCTAGGGTGAGGCTAAATAAGTATATAGTGAAAATGCATTATTACTTTGAAAATCTTCTTCTCTGCTCCTGGGTATTAAATAAACCAACTAAGTACATACTTTTGATGAGCAAGATTGCCTCTACCAAATTTGTGAATTTTATGGCCCCAGGGTCAGGGGTTCTGGTGTTAGGGTGGGGCTGTATTGATTATATGGTAAAAATACATGATTTCTTTGAAAATCTTCTTCTCTGCCCCTGGGTATTTAATAAACCAAGTAAGTAAATAGTTATGATGAGCAAGAGTGCCTCTACCAAAATTGTGAAATTTATGGCCCCAGGGTCAAGGTTTCTGGTGTTAGGGGGGGTCATTGATTATAGGGATGTAGGGAGATTTTTTTTGTTTTTTAAGGTATTCAATGTATAACGACCATGGTTTGTACCTAATAAATGAACGGTCCAATATTTTTAATTATGGTAGCAATTTGAGGATATTATCAAATGAAAATGCTCCACCAAAGGAATTTACAGAATTTTGATTATTGTCCAATTAATATCACTTTGAATTTTACATTGAAGTCTATGGGCAGTGCATGTTTTTATAAGATATTGTAAAAAGTAATTTGAATTTGAAAGAAATCTCTCGGTGAAAATATGCATAAACTCCCTCTTTATTAAAATATAAAATAAAATAAATTATTTACCGCAGAAATTTTGTGAAATCAAAAATTTTCTTCTTTTCATCAAGGGCAGATAACTCTTCGAAGACTGTAAATGTGCAAAATGACCGTCTCCTTACATGTTAAGTCTTGTGAATTTGGTTTATTTCACTTTTATCGTTTTCTAGCTGTGTGCTTTTAACTAGTTTTAAATTATTTAAAATCAGTCAAAATCCCTTCGTTATACATTGAATACCTTAATCAATTTTTATGTCCATGATCACATGCACCATACACGCTGAAATGTATCGGCCGTAGTGTCAGATCTTTGCAAAATTAGGTTTCCTTGTTGATAGTATATACTTTCTTTTAAGTCAGATAATGTATGTACTGTTTACTAAACTATTCAAATTGCAGAAAAATAGAACATTTATAAACTTCTGTTATTCATATATGCTATGAAAGAACTTTTTATACGCTTTGATTGAAGCAAAATTGAATTGCTGTCGTCCTGTACAATAATGATTTCTTATATAATAATGTATATTCGGTTGTACAGAAATACTTCTAATAAATTTTTAGCTCACCTGAGCTGAAAGCTCTTCTGATCACCCGGTGACCGTCGTCCGTCCGTCCGTCCGTCCGTCTGTCTGTCTGTCCGTCCGACCGTCAGTAAACTTTTCACATTTTCAACTTATTTTCAAGAACCACTGGACCAATTTTAACCAAACTTGGTACAAAATATTCTTGGGGAAAGGGGAATATAAATTGTTAAAATCAAAGGCCAAGTCCCCTTCCAAGGGGAGATAATCAGGAAAATACAAAAATAGGGTGGGGTCATTTAAAAATCTTCTTCTCAAGAACCACTGGGCCAGGAAAGCTGAAACTTATGTGGAAGCATCCTGGGGCAGTGTAGATACTGATTATTAAATTGTTAAAATCATGACCCCTGGGGGTACGGCGGGGACACAATAGGGAATCCAAGTTTTACATACAAATATATAAATATATAGAACAAATCTTTAAAAATCTTTTCAAGAACCACTGGACCAGGAAAGCTGAAACTTATGTGGGAGCATCCTTGGGTAATGTAGATATTAAATTGTTAAAACCCTGACCCCCGGGAGTTAGGCGGGGCTACAATACAGAATCCAAGTTTTACATAGAAATATATAGAACAAATCTTAAAAAATCTTCTTCTCAAGAACCACTGGGCCAAGAAAGCTGAAACTTAAATGGAAGCATCCGTTGGTAGTGTCGATATTAAATTGTTAAAATTATTACCCCCGAGGGTAGGGTGGGGCCAAAATAAGGAATCCAAGTTTCACATAGAAATATATAGAACAAATCTTTAAAAATCTTTTTCTCAATAACCACTGGACCAGGAAAGCTGAAACTTATGTGGAAGCATCTTTTGGTAGTGTTGATATTTAATTGTTAAAATCATGACCCCCGGGGGTAGGGCGGGGCCACAATAGGGAATCCAAGTTTTACATAGAAATATATAGAACAAATCTTTAAAAATCTTCTTCTCAAGAACCACTGGGCCAGGAAAGCTGAAACTTATATGGAAGCATCCTTGGGTAGTGTAGA